TCTGAGCTTAAACAAAGCATAATGTCATGTGACGCTATGTGAAAAATAGATTAGTGAACATATTCAGCAGAATACATAGATAATAAAACAGGCCAGATTAAGGAAGGTTATTTATCGGGCATCCCAGTTAAGAAGAAAATAACTTGTTTTGAATGGAAGTTGATGATTCACTTTTAAGTCCTTAAAATACCTCTCTTGTTATATTTAGGTTTGCCTTCAAGTCAGATAGGTTCTATCATTTCCCAAAGTAGACTAATTTACATCTTCAGCATTATAGGCCACAACTTAGCTCTCTTTTAAACGATCTAAGCAATAACCTCTCTTCCAGTAGTTATCCTCAAAGTGTTTGTATTAACTTGAGAAAGACCAGAAATTAAAGTTGACTTTGTTAAGCAGAGCAATGCAAGACAACTGCTAATTATTATGCAGAAATAATATCACCTATAATGTAGTGGTGCTCTTTATGCCATTAAGCAGAGTGCTGGAAAGGAAGCAAACCATTTTGCAGAGTGGTTGTCTGAAGAGAGTAATACTTGGAGTCCAAGGCCAGAAGAATGCACCTGGTCTGCCTTCACATGGAGCAGTAACAGTACTGCCCTGTCACCACTCAAAAGCAGGCTGAGAGTCACTTGATACAAGCATTCACACAGAAAATAATAACTAAACCAAAGATATTAACAAGTTCATATCTTATGGTCAGAGACCTGATCAAAAGAGCAACCAGGGCCTCTCAACCTCCATCCTTCTGGACCAATCATCATCAACTAGGACCATTGCTAGTAGCAGAGTAATTATGAAAGAGTACCAGTGATGCCACGAAGTCTAATTGTGCTTCTCCCCTCTATAGGAATCAATAATCAAAGCAGGAAAAAAAGCAGTTGTCTGTCTTGAAGGATTCTGTGAGTTATTTTACAGTAAGAGTGTGTTCAATGGAAATAGTCCCAAAAGATACCTCTATGATAAAAAGAATAAAGAATTGGAGCCAATGGGAATCAGTTAAAGGTAAGGATTAAAAACACAACATCTCATGAAAACATTCTTTAACATCTTAAAGTCAAGTAATTAATTTCTCAAGAATTAATATCTTAAATGCAAACTGTTTTATGATAGAAACAACAGCAAATGAAAAGAGTTGATCAAACTCTAAAGAGAAATGACAGAAAGTAGGACTCTCAAAACTGTTCCTGAATGAGGTAGAACATAAGATATAAAAGAGACGTGGGTATTAAAGTGATTTCAGGTACAATTAAAATCCCTTGTAAAGACAGAATGGGAGAGAAATGAAAAGAAGTTGTGTGTTTTGCCTCATGTTACAGTATTAAGTTTTGAAAACAGCATGGAAGAAAAACAAAGCAAGTCTTAGAACAGGCTAGTTAACATAAGAGGGAAAGCTTAATACAGAAGACGAAAATATTTATGTTGTGGTCTTTTTCTTCTGATAAAGTTGGTAAGTTGCCTGGTACTTTAAAACACTTTTAAAGTGTCAAACCACTGTCAAACCATTTACTTTTCACTGTTCCATTAGTTCTGCAGTCAAACATTGCTCACCTGACAGATAAAGATCAAAATGTCATTTTGAACTGGCAGAATTTGTGAATTTATGCATGAACAGTGTCCAGTTTCTTCCTGTGTCTTTTCAGTGAGAAGAGGTTTTAGTTACTGTCAAGACAGCTGCACTTATGAGTTTTTTATTACTACACTGACCAGGAATAACATTCTGGGAAAAAAAATTTAAACAGAACTCTAAGCATTTGTAATGGCCTCTTAAAATTCAACTACCTTCTGTAAATTTTGCCTCATGGGGAGATTATTAATTAGAAAAAAAACCTTACTCATTCTTTCATGCAGCAAAATCCCTATACACTGCAATGCCTTTCCAAAACAAAGTATGTTCCTACCTTTCACAATGAAGAGGGAAGCATCATACTACATATCTCTTCCTTCTATTTTCTCACGTCCAAAAATCACTCTATTTTGCTTCCTTTCCACTAATTGTGGAACTCTCCAAAGTGAGCAAGAATCATTTATATCAGTAGTCTCGAAAGTGGAGTTTATGCAGCCCTGGGTATGCACAAGACAATCCACTGCAGGGCAAGAAGAAAATTATACGTAAATATATTTATTAATAAATTATTAATGTTTTAGATTCAGATTAAAAAGCAGTATTTTAAGAAGTGTTTATCTTTATCTCATCATTTGTAAAATTTCTATTGTGCATGTTTTATAGTTTGCATAACATACTACAGCAGTATATGTCTACAATTTATAAATAAATAAGTATAAATACATTGGAGGCTGCGTGCTCAAAAAAATTTTACTGATTAATAATGTTTGGAGATCACTGGTTTGACTTCAGCACCAGGAAACTGAAGCAGCATTTCCCCCTTTGCTAGAAGGAGGTAAAAATACTGGAGAAGAAACTGCATGCAGGGAAGAGTTTTCATTGGGGCTGCATTTTGCAGTTATTTAGCTGCAAGTTTAATGTAGCAAATGATTTTTCAGAAACAGTTAAGTGCTTAGCTCACACTATCTAGTAGTTGAACAACTCCTGAATTCCCATGAGATTCTGATTGGTATCTAGAGGCTGCCAAAGGCCATTCAAAACCTTATTCCAGATGATTTAGGTTCAGGTCCACTGCTTTTCAAAGACATTTAAAATTCTAAATACACAAAATACAGTTTCAGCAATAACGTACGCCACTACATCACTTGGCCAGGTTTCTAACGTAGATGCAAAAAGTCAGACTATTTTTATTTAAATTCCTTTCAAACATTCACAAAAAAAATAACTCTGCTAGTCACTTGATAAACTATTTTTGGTTTTGTAGAAATACTGAAATATTCCATCTCTGTAATGGCCACAGACAAGTATCGACTAGGTGAAACACTGAAGTCACTAGAACTTTGGGGAAATTTTACTTGGTAGGTTATTAAGAAACAGTGAAGCAAGCAAACAATTTTGGCAAGATTCTCTAAAAATTAGGTTATCCTGAATAATGTCTTTTTACTACCCTTTCTATTCCAGTGAGAATGACAGCACTTTATTCAAGAACTACAAATTTTGAGATAAATTCCTTTATTTCCCCTGAAAAGTTTCCAAGCAGCACGTAGCATTGATTACAGCTTTGAAATCTTCAGTATAGCATCCTCTAAAAATCAAAGTTCAAACATTTCTCTTAAATAGCTAAGAGAGCAGCTAGAGTAATGCACATTTTTTACATGACATTTCTCTCATATACTTTGATGTCAAACAATGAATGCTATGAAACAGAAAACAACCAATTTGTTTCTCTAGTCATGTATCACATCCCTCCAAATTCTAGCACCAAGACTTCACAGCATACAGTCATTAAAGTAGAAATTTTTCTCACAGAGCAAGGGACATTACTGTGCAACCAATGCAGGATTTGCAGCACCAATTTTATAGAACACTTAAGCTCTTGCTGACCTTTCAGTATGCAAGAACTCCGTTTAAATAAAACTACTCATGCTGAAGGCTAAGCACTCCTTGAACCACTACCCATAATCACAGAATCCAGAAAACATCAGTAACACGTGGTCCCTTCTGCAGTTTTCCTAACAAACAGGTTGTGTGCTGCCAGTTCAACAGGCTCTTCAGTCTTCAATGCGACTCATTCTTGCTCTTCAGTTCCTCCTCTGGCAGTTTATTGAAGGCAAAAGCAGAAATGCACACATGCTAACCCTGCTAACATAGCTCTGGCTGCTCCTTTTGCTCTATGGAAGATTTCCATCCCCTTGTTAGCCTTAACTATCACACCACGCTACAAGAGGAGAAGCAAACAGCACAGCCTAATCACATATGAGCACCACAAAACAGTTTCAGATGTCTGTCTTACCTTTCCATCTCATCTACCTTTCTCTCCTGCCTTTGCATTTCACAATGGAGCAACAATACAAATGCACTCAGATGAGCTTCATCAGATCAACCATCCCTTTACACATGACTATCACTGTTATATAACCTTTCTCTTATCTCTTCCTATGAAAGAATCTAATCCTACAGTCCTCCACATGTAGTAAGCTTTCACACTACCCTCACTGGAAAGGTTCCCAGGAAGACACAGCTTCAACATTAAATCTCACTTCATTTCAACTTCAGGGGATGCTCTTCAAGTCTAACGATGCCTCTTTTTGCCTGTCTTTCCCAAACATTTTCTGGGTTTGACCACAAACACACACACAGGCCAGCTTGTTTTAGTTTATTGATTTTCTTCTGAACACATTATTTTATTTGTCCTTAAAACCTTACTAAAAGATCAGCCACACAAAAAGCCAGACTCATTCTTCAAGCACAGAAAGGTTAGTACAGTGCTGCAAAGCCATGTAATTTATTTCACTTACTGCAATGAGACCATGTCTTTTCAGTTGGGATGGCAGAAACAGAGGGCTCTTGGCTATGCCTGTTCCTAAAAGTTTCAGCTAACACTCAGAGAACCTGGGAACAGTATATATCTATGCGCCTACACCTTTCAGCCAGACACTTGCTCAAGATTATCTTCCCCTCTCCCTAATTCCTGTTCCCCGAGAGTTTTGTCCATATCTTCCTGTCAAATACAGTCACATATCTCAGAAGCTGCAGCCATATTTTCCTACCTTACTCTTTTTTGAAGCAAGTTTTCCACCAAATTCTTTTCTCTCCAAAGGTGTCACAACTCACCCAGCAGAATGATCCTTAGAAGCTCATATATATTCTGGTATACCAGCAACCTGATGATGCAGAGAGGCTGCATCTCTCTAGTGTGTACATGCAGATGCTGCAGCATTTCTAAAGATGCCAGGCAGGCCCCAGCATCCACCCCATCTTCAGGGACAGAAGCCAAAGGATGTCTGTCCTCATCATTTTTCAAGAGACAATTGCTGCTCGGGTGAAACTGCAAAACTGCATCCAGCTACTACCAGTGAGAAAGAACAATTATTGCCTGCAACAAAGACAATTTACTGTTTTGGTGCCATTTGTTACTGGCTTTTAGATACCCTACCTGTTTGTGCCACCAAGTGGGTCCAGCCACTCCAAACTGCTGCAATCTTTTCATGTGAGAAAAACTGAGTCTCAATCTTCTTGGGCTCAGCAAGAAAGATCTCTTTGCTCACTAACTGTCCATGTTTGTTGCTGCCCCAGACGTACAGGTGTCCTTCATCTACAACGGACAGAGAAGTAAAAGTGATATACATATAATACCACCAGATACAGTCTTTGTCTCAATTCAGTGATGCTGAGGAAAGAACGTTTCGTTCAATTTGTGTTTTCCCTACCCTTCTTTACCACATGCACACACACACTGTAACTAGGATATCAGAAATATTTGCAAGAGCCTTTTATGATAGCCTGTTTTCTGAGGGCTATATGGACACTCTGAAGCCACCAGAGCTTTCAGGTCAAACTGCCTAGACCTCATCTCTACTGTGAGCCTCTCAAACATGATTTAAAGATGTTTATAACAAACATTATTTCTTATTAAAAAACTAAACACAGTAGTCAACTTCTCTGAGGGGAAAAAAAAAAAAAATCAAACCACCTTGGAGACACTCACTGAGCAGTCTCTATTGGTCCACTCTGTCTTTGCAGACCAGCTTCTATCTCCACTCCAAAGCTTCGATTCAGTCCAGCAAATAACTTCCTGGATTGCAGCAAATAATTTAATTTAAGTCCCCTCCAGTACAGGGGATTCTTCGAAGCCTGGCTGGCTGCTCCTAATGCTTCCATCTCCCAGCCTCTTACAAGAGCTAGACTCATATGAGGGTGTTTATAACAAGTCTGCCTTCTTCAGCTTGAGCAAATTCAGTACATCCCCCAAAGCAGGGACAGTCTAACGCTCCTTGTCTCACCTTGCACAATCACTTCCTGAAGGAGTTGGACACACAGCTACACACACAACTAAAGCAGGCACCACTCACCACAAGGCAAAATTAAAATATTATCATGCCCCAAAACAATGCCAGACAACTACTGAGAGACTTTGTCAGTAATCATTTGTCTTTCCCACCCCTTTTTTAGAACAAGCATTTGTCTAAGTGCACATTCCAGAACTCCAACCACAGGGATAGTTCTGTTTACAGAAACACCCACAATACTTTATAGCAATGCAAGCTGGAGCTACTCACAGCCTAAGGACCAATGGACACTAACACTGTTCAGATGAGTCCTTCTGCAGATATTACATATCATTAGTTCCATCTTTTCAGCACAAAACCATTCCTCCCAGGTTCTAGGCCTCCATGGGCAAAAAATACAATCCACAAAAAACACTTAAGAGAACAGGACCTGTGTCAGGCCTCTCTTGAAGTCCTTGCCAGCCTGCACAAGCTGCAAGCATAAAAAAATAAATTTTGCAGACATGAAATACATTGTCATGGGCCCAGGAAGACTGGAAGCCATATAATTTCCAACATGGAATTGTTTAGAGTACACATTCAAAACCCTTAAGGCAGGAGTCTCTGGTCAGCACTGAACTATTTACAAGCGGCATGGCAGAAGTAAATCGTTCAGAGGCAAAAGAAAAAGTAGTAGGACTTAAGCTACAATATATTTAATTATCTCAGTTTGGTAACAGTTAACAGGAGGACTAAGCCAGGAGAATTCTACTACACTACTGTTGGTGAAAAACAGGCAAGGAGTGGGAGTGGGGGGAGAAGTCAGTACTTGTCAAATTACAGATTACTGACAGTCATCTGCAGGACTTCCCAAGTCCCTCATTAAAACAACACAACTGAAGTGAAAAGGAAAAACAAGTCAAGCGATTGTTTCATTCAAATTCTCCCCTAAAATTGATAAATTCCTTCCCACTGTGAAGTACATACACCTTCTGGAGAGAAAAAAAAGGGGGTGACAGAAACAACTTGTTTCAACATAGGAAAAACATTACTGCCAGTCATGGTCCACAAGTAACACATACTGCCTCTGTCACCTCCTTTTCTTCTCCAGAAGGTGCACTTGCTTTATCCTGGGAAATGTCACGTGCTCAACCCTTATCTCATTTCCTGAGTAGGTCTTAACAAAAGTTCAGGCACTAAGACTTAGGACCATAGTCTAACCACTGGAGGGTTCAGGTCAGTTTGGATACAAGTAGACTTTACCATCCTTTTCTCAAAGGAACCACCATTCTCATTTGCAACAACCCATCTCAACAGTTGTGTCCCAAAGCTGCCTGACTGCAAGTGTTTGGTATCCTACCCACAGGTGATTCACGGAACAGAGCCAATGAAAACTGCACCACAGTGCAAGACATTCCTAGAAAAAAGTGTTTATTTAAATACTACACCCTGCAGTAGTATCTTTACTATACCAAGTACCTCTAAAATACAAAGTATAACTATCTTGCAGGACAATATCTTGCAGGACAAAGGGCAGCAACAGCATCACCTTACAAAAGTCTTTGGCACTTATGGTGTCAATCTGGGTGCCCCTGCTGCCAAATAGATCGCTCTCTTAAATAAAAAGCAAAAGAATGAAAGAATAATCTGTTCACTCTAAATACAGAGTGTTAATTATCTGATGTAGATTTCATTTGTTCTTACAGTTCTTCTTCACTAATCGTGCATACACTTTGCGTCTCAGAATTCAACATAATTTACATCTTGGAACATCTCCATACAACTAAATCTCTATAGATCTGCATAAGCAAATACTCCAGTGCTCCTTTAATCATGACAGAGGTACCAGATGGCTGCAGATTTGTTAAGAATTTGTTCCTATAAAGTTTGGCAAAGACTTGTCTTCATAAGGTTCAATATATTTTACACACTTCAAAACTGTAAGATTACAGCATGAAAAGCTATTCTGTTTCCCCTTCTCCCAATCTGTCAAAATAAAAAAAGAATCTTTATTAGACTTACATTACTGGATACTTAATACTCCAGCATGGGAGCACTGCCCAAAGATCAAAGAACAAATGGAAGACATTATGGAAGTGCCTGATTAAAGCAGTTTCCTACTTTTTAAATAAGCTTTGTGCTCTCACATCACCTCGCACAGATCTGCACAGTTACAGCAGAGCCACCCAAGGCAGTGCCAGACCATCTCACACCCCTGCACAGCACTGCCCCACACAGAGGCACTAGCTCACACTGCTGTGGATAGACAGCTTCTGCTGTCTTTCTTGGGAAAACCACCAAGCATACCCTTTCTCCATGGGCAAAGGGTTGCACTGGTTCCAGCAGTCAACCATCCAGCTATCCAATGGAGCATCCTGCTGCAGCTCCAGAGACTTACCCACCCACATGAACAAATCCTTCCAGAGCTTCTAACCATTAAGTAAAGAGCCCAGACTCTTAATTAGTTAAGGGCTATGTCACACCTGACCCCAAGGAAATACATGCAAAATTCAGAGAATTCAAAACATGAATCCAGCTCTTAAAAAAAAAAAAAAAAGGAAATTTCTCAAAACCCAAAACTATTACAAAATAATTAACCAGCACTAACTAGGACAAATCAAATTTCAACAGTTTAAGCAAAATTGACAACCATTTCAAAAGCAGAGAAACCTTTATAGGTTGAGAGTTTTCACTTCTGTGCCTAAGTCCTACCTGTGAGGGACACTGAATGACAGGAGTTTGCAGCAACTGTCTTCACCTTTACATCTTCCAGGCCTAGAAAAAAATCAGTTTCATAAAATTTGTACAGCAGGTACCATTCCACACAGACATGCATACAAGTGTAACAGGATGATGCATTTTGTAACAGAAATCTCTGCTTTTGGGTCACAGACATTGCAAGGTTCGCTGTCATTTTCCCCCATTGATTATGACCATCCTGTCCTTCAGGTACTCCACTACATGTTTGTAGCACCAAGTTGGCTTTATACATAGGATGGTACATATCACTCCAAACTATATTTCTGCTCTATCCACTTTTAAAAAGGAAGCAGATTCCTGGATTACCTGTCACTTCACAGGGTTCCTTTGCTGTCAAGAACAGGGGGAGAGTTTTTCCTTGGCTTGCACGCTTTGCCCGAGTTGCCATACCAGTTCCCCACTGAAGAACCAGACCACTGTCTTGTCAGAGTAAACACAGATAAAAGAGATTAAAACACATCGACCACCAACAAAATCACTTAACTCATTAATCAAAGGTACATTTAATTAATTTCCACTGATTCAAAATACACTTTTAAAGGCCTTTATGCCAAAAACCATACAGATAACTCTGGTGAGGTCAACATGCAACACAGTGATAGTCTCATTATACAGGTAAGAAAAGTAAGGCACGAGGCAACCTGACTCAGCTCTCAGGGCTGTATTAGGACATTACTGAGGACTCAGTAACAGAAGTCCCATAGATGTAGTGTCTCAGGAATGGATACAATGTTCATAGGACTTTCTCTTCACTTTTCTTCTCTCATTTGTTTGTGCAGTCCAGCACAACTGAGAGAAGGAAGTTATTTGTCTTCTCCTCAAGAGCTTTCAGAAACTTGAGCTACATCTGCATCAAGATGTTCCCTGACCACAGAGCTCAGGGAAGCTTAATTCCCATTATTCACACAAGCATCAGAGATTCCATTATTCTTCCAAGCATCTCCTTTGCACCTTCAGCTAGACTCCACTACTTGGAATCTATACTGAAGTTCCTGCAAAACTAAACCAAACAGAAGAGCAGGTGTAGTTTGTCGTTCGTTTTTAACACAACCATGCCAAATGGAAGGTTTTGATTTCTACAGCTGTATCATAAACTCTAATACCAGCAGGAGAAATATTTAGGCCTTATGACCCTCCCAAGTACACACGTAGCAGACAGTGTGGAAGAGAGTCAGGAACAGATTTTTCCAGGTGTGTGAGTGAAATTAATGGAGCAGATCCTTTCTGTCCCCCCTGAATAAAAGTCAAGTTTCATTGTTCTGACTTTTCCAGGTGTCAGTTTCAATTACATCATTAAAAAAGCCACATTTTATGTGTAGTTTCATTTTGAAACATCTTATACAAACTTAAATTATTCTGCATATTATAATGAATTCAAATCCTAAGATATGTTGACTGATCAGAAATCTTTTCTCCTGAAAAAACTCCTTTCATGTTTTGTTTCAGAACAGGAGAAATCAGTAAGTGGAAAATTAGCTTATTAATATAGTATCACTCTGAGTTCTTGGAGAACAGCCCTTCACCACTACTTTGCAGAAACATGTTTCTAGTATGTTTACTATTCCAGTTAATTTGTATCAAAATCTTACAGTGTATGACTTTCAGGTGTATTTTCTCTGTGACATTTAAAATACAGGGCAACTAAAATAAACTCCATTTTCTTTCCCTCCCTCTCCCCCTCCAAGCCATTAAAACTCCCTTTCATTTGTTACTGAAAAGATATTAAAACTATGACATATTTACCTGTAGCAGCAAGGGCATGTCTCAGTCCTGCAGCAACATTCACCACCTTCTCTTTGAGGGACTACTCAAATTAAAAAAAAAATATATATATATATATATTTTAGTTGCTTTTTTGCATTCAGTGCCTCTAAAAACAAAACAGGCCAAACTGAAGTGGAACGCTATGAAAATAGCTCCTGCAATTCCAGTCTGCATGTCACAATGCATATCAACACTCTGTATCACAAGGAAAGAAAATTCTGGTCAATAAAAATTAGCGTGAACTTCTTCAGTCTCACCATGTCCTGCAATCACCAACAATACCACTGACAGTGCCACCTACACCACTGAAGGTTGCCCAACATGATCACGCAAAAGAAGACTAGAAGTCATATCTGCATTAAATTAGTGAGCTCAGTTTGCACAAGGTACACCAATTCTGGCACTTCTCCACTCCCAAGTACTCTACAAATTTATTATTCTTCTCATAGATGTAACTATTTAAAACAGATGGCATCAAGCCCAAGCATTAACAGGATACCAACCAAAAGAGCAAACAATCCACAAGAATGTATGGGGTGTGTGGTCAGGGAGGAGAGAGATTCAGATTAGCATTGTCAATACTATTAAATTTCCAGGCTCCCAGGAAACATTGAGGGCACAGAAACATCAGGCAAATTAAAGCCTGCTCATGAGAGGTTACTCCTTCTGCCAAGGTAAAAAAAGTAAAGGAGTATCTGGAATGAGCCATGAGGCTAAATTTCTTGTCTGAGGATCCTTCCTCCTCTGAAGTTACTGCTTGCATTAGATATGAGAGGTTATGTGGATGGGAAAGTTTCATTACTGTTGTCCAAATAAGAGACTACAGTGTAAACTGGAATTCCTGTGAGAAATTTATTGAAAATGTTAGGCTTACAGCCAAAAACAGGAAAGCTTTTCTGATGTTACAGAAGTCTCAGCGTCTGTTAATTAAAACATTATAAAGCAATTAATTTGGAGCTGTTCCAAGCTCCCTGCTCACACTCAGCAGCACCTCACCTACAAATGTCACCATGGACTTCCACATGGAACAGCATGAGTTACAGTCCAGCATTTATCACTGAAGATACTGGACAGCAGAGAAATTATTATCTAATTTTTCCATTCTTCTTCCTTGGAAGCTATTACTGTTTGGTAAATACTGGAGGTTAGAAAAGAAGCAAATCAACGTACTTGTCAGTTCATTTACATGCAAAAGTAAAAATCATTTTAATCTCAAGTGATAAAATCAAAGTTTATTTTCACACCTCTAGTATTCCTGCAGGTACATACTTTATCACACTACCGTTATTTTGGGGGGTGACCAAGCTTATTTTTATCTAACCGTTTCTACAGCCAAGAAATAATAGTACAGTCCTCATTTTGGGGGAAGAAATTCTGACAGTTACACACTCAAAAAAACAACATATACTTAAAAAACAGAACTGTTGCACAAGATGCACAAGAGCAATAGATCGAAAGAAATGGCATAGCCAAGTTTGTTGAACTCTATAATGCAATTTGTTTTTCTCAGGGGTGGCTTACTGTAGGTTTGGTTTGGTTTGAAGTATTTGCACAAATCTGCAACAAAGTACAGGGAAGGCACAAGCCCTTCACACAGCAAAAGGTATCCAGTATCTTACAAACTTGAGGCACATATTCAGTTGGAGTAAATTTGCACAGTTTCACTACCTTTAGCATCACTTTACATCATCTGAGCAGATGGTTTATTCTGCAGATGTTGAAATATTACAATCCCTAATGAAAGGGACAACTTTCTGTTAGAAGAGGGCAACTTCTTCATACAACAAGGAAAGCAGCCTTAGCTTTTCATTTCTGGGTCGATGACCATGTTTGGGCCTTTACTTTGTAAGCTTGCTGTAAAAGACAGGCTGTATAAAAAAATAGTTGAAGTGTCTGGCTTAAAGCCCATTTAGGTCAGATGACCTCTGTAAGTTGCTGGAAGCAATATAAACAACAACCCCTTTTAAATCTTTACCTCAATCTTTTGTGGAATCAAGCATGGACCTGAAATTTGAGGAACTCCTAATTGTCCAAAAGAGTTTGACCCACAGGACAGAACTAGGCCCGATCCTGCAAAAAAATGAAGTGTTAGAGCGAGATCAGTGAATTCATGAGCAAAAGCAAAGCAGTGTGACATTCTAACCATCAAAATAACACAGCCAAGTAGCTCAAAAACTGACCTAACATCTCCCATTCGGAAGTCCTTGAGGCCATAGACTTCTGGTCTTACATACCATGTTCAGTAAAGGTCTAAAGTTCACTGGGATACAAGGAACATGGACTAATTTAGCTTGCAAGGCAAGTAGCTTAAAACCTGTGAGTGCCAGCACACAGAATCATAGAATGGTTTCGGTTGGGAGTAGTCTTGATTTCTACAGTTATACCATAAACTCTAAAAACAGCAGGAGAAATATTTAGACCCTCGGACCCTCCCAAGTACACACATAGCAGACAGTGTGAAAGAGAGTCGGGAACAGAACTGTAGAACTAGATTTTCATCTAGTTTCAACTACCTGCCTTGGGCAGGGACACCTTCCACTAGACCAGGTTGTTCAGAGCCCCATCCATCCTGGCCTTGAACACTTCCAGGGAAGGGGCATCCACAAGTTCTCTGGGCGACGTGTTCCAGTGTCTCACCACCCTCACAGTATTCTTCCTAATAACTAACTTAAACATGCTCTTTTTCAGTTTAAAGCTGTCACCCCTTGTCCTGACACTACATTCCCTTGCAAAAAGTTCCTCTTCATCTTTCTTGCAGCCCCATTTAGGTAGTGAAAGGCCACAATAAGGTCACCCCAGAGCCTTCTCTACTCCAGGCTGAACAGACCCAATTCTCTCAGCCCTTCCTCACAGGAGAGGTGCTCCAGCCCTCTGATCATCTTAGTGGCCCTCCTCTGGACTCCTTGTAACAGGTCAATGTCCCTCCTGTGCTGATGATCCCCCAAAGCTGGAAGTAGCACTCCAGGTGGGGTCTCACTAGGGCGGAGTAGAGGGGCACAATTCCCCTCCCTCAACCTGCTGGCCACGCTACTTTTGATGCAGCCCAGGATACAACTGGCTTTCTGGGCTGCGAGCACACACTGCCAGCTCATGTCCAGCCCCTCATTTACCAGATGGAGAGACAGATTTACCTACTAATATGATTGTAAAATCCCAGCCACATGCAACTTGTTTTACACAAAAGCCAGACAGGGCAGTGCACAAGGTAAAGCGCAGCACATCCTCTGTGTGATTCAATCCCAACTGCCCATCTTTGTTATGGCCACATACAAAGAGTTGTCCTCCACCTGGAAGAAAAAAAACAAAACAAGTTGGGTTTCACTTCAAAGACTAAAAAGAAAAACATACATCCACGAGATCCTGTGACAAATAAGGACAGTGATTATGTGCCACTTTAGGCACTACATTCAAGCAAAAAGTAACAGAAACAGGTGTTTCTGATGCATCTAAAATCTCTGAATAACTACAGCTATGGAGAGCTGGGTTAGTCAAGGGAGACAATCCATATGGTAAGACAGGCACTTCTTTGGATAAGATGCATGATGAACTTTTTTATCACATTCACATCTGTCTGTATTCCTTCTTTCCCATAATTAGCTATGGCACACAACAGAACCTTTCAAAGACAAGATGTCATCTTCTGCTCCTTACCTTAATATTTCTCAAGACTGAATAACCTCTCACTTCACTCCTCCCTCCCACTCTCCTATCCGTAATAGAGAAAATTTGGCTTCCTTGTATGAAAAGCTGTTACATAAAATAGATGAAGAAATAGACCTCACAAGATACAAAGTAACCACACAACATACGAAAAAGAGAATTTCCCCAATTTCCAAAAAATTTCCCAAAAATACTGAGTTAACTGGAGGGAGGGAACCTCTTTTGCAACTGAGGATTGTAATTGCTCAGAAACAGCAGCCACAGAGAGGTGGCAGCACCGAACCATCAGGGAAACAAAAAAAATATGAGAAGCCATACATTCCATGCAAGAGCAATGTTTTTACCAGTGATAACTGCAGAATGTCCCCCTCCTCCAGCAATGCTTGCAATGTCTTGACATTTGCAGGAAACATCTTTCAGTGCCTGAGGTACCAGCACATCCTCTTTATGACCAAGACCAAGTTGCCCATAGCTGTTTGCACCCTTCAAATGCACACAGAAAAATAACACATTTTTTTTAAAGTTCACACATCTGCTCCCAAGAACAAACAAGCTTATTGGGGATATGCCAGAGGTTGACCTGCCAGTATTTGCTCCTGAAAGTTCCCTAATATATCAATCTCTGTTCTTTCTACTGTCACAGGATTTGCAGAATTACAGGCCAGGACTGTCCTAACTTTGATGTCATTAAGTCTGCCATTGCAATCCCAGTATTTTAAGAAACATTCTGGAACATAACTTGTTAAAACTTCAACTGTGGGCTAACAGTTACCAAGGAGGAAAGGCTAACTATCAGAATGTGTTTAATTTTAATGCTAATAATTCCCACTCATCATTAAGATCTTATTCATGCCACTGCTTTCTGGCAGTCCATCTCCAAAACAAGATCAGAAAGACATGCTACCTAGTTCTGGAACTTAAATCAGAAACACTTACCCTTCATTAACAAAGTCTTTTAACTCTAACTGGTCCAAATGAAAATATACCAATTATAGCTAGTATTAATTTACGTGTACAGAATTATAGCTACCAGTCCCATCACAGAAAGCAACAATTGCAAACATGGTAACGAGAGATGAAATTTTTTCTAGCCTATTAAATTATATGTCCAACAGTTGAAGCAGCAACTTTCATTCATGAAAAGGGATATCATAACCTTCCCAGCCCACACACCGCAGTAAAACACTCCACACCCACCATGCTCCCAGCTGGTGATCCCCAGGAGAGACTTTCCCTACCTCACCTGTGCTCCCCCTGCCCATCTGCCCTCCATTTACCCTCCACCCCCCAAAGATGGAGCACCTGGTGAATGTTAAAAGGACACATTTAACAATAAACATTTTGTACCTACAGAAACAGAGACCATGCTGCTTGCCTCAGCCCACGGCTAACAGGTGGGTGAGATGTCAGGATTCGAGCTGAACAGGCAGATAAAGTTGTTGTCTCACAGTCTCACTACCACTGGCAGACAGCTTTGGAGCGTGTTACTACTTAACAGACGTAGTTCTTTTTAGAAGGTGTGTCACAAGCTCCCATTGTAGGCTATAACTTTCAAGCCATCAAGAACAGGCAAGCTGAGATACGGTGCAGAAAGGAAACGGGAGCCTGAGCAACCGGGAGCCGTACACGTGTATGGCCACGCCGACAACACACCGGTCGTGGTGTGCTCTGCCCAGACTGATGGGCTTATGCCAAGCACGGCTGCGGCGGGGCAAACAGAGCTGACAAGGGGCAGAGATGCCCCTTTAGTGGCTCTTACACCTACTGTGCTCAGCAGGTAAAAGCGCAGCGTTGTTTTCCTGCGGGGAGAGGACACCTCGGCCACCTTTTCCCAGGAAAGGGAGTGCGGCGAGAGACAGCGGCAGCGCACGCGGTCCCGGCCGCCGAGCCCCGCAGCATCCCGGAGGGGGCGAGCGCATCCCGGGGCGAGCGAGCGCATCCCGGGGCGGGTGGGCGAGCGCATCCCGGGTCGGGTGGGCGAGCGCATCCCGGGTCGGGTGGGCGAGCGCATCCCGGGGCGGGTGGGCGAGTGCATCCCGGGGCGGGCGGGGGGAGGGTGTCGAGTATCCGGCCCCGCGTCCCTCCCGTCGCCCCGGGACGAGGGGCAGGAGGAGTTCCCGGCTCTTCCCGAGCTCCCACTCACCCAGGCGAAGAGCTCCATCACCATGGAGCCGGCGCTTCCCGCCGCCCGCAGGCCGGGCAGGAAGAGGCAGGCCAGGGGCGGGCTCAGGGGCGTGAAGTATCTGAACCACACCATTAAAAGGCATAAACCCCGAGCCAGGAGCGAAAGCGTTGTGTTTGTTGCTACAGCGGTGGAATAAAGGTCGCTTTACCTCTGATAATTACCAGCAAGTCATTTATTTCGTTCACATTTAAAGACTCCACAACAGTTTAAAATGTTTAAATTATTACTGTTCTCTATAGCTATGAGGTTTGGATGGGTGAAGCCAAACATACACGTGGTTAATGCCATGGAAATGCATCTTCTCTGTATTATTGTTAGCAGGCTTTTGTTTCTCTACACAAGTGCAAATAAAAGATACAACTGCTGTTTTTACAGAGTATTTGAAAGTAGGTGCTAATTTAACAAGTATAAGGATTCCTATTTGAAATGTATACATAGTTCAGACAAGGTTTGAAGTAACACACACCTATGTATATTTCCACAACGTAATAATCCCAATGTTGTTAAAACTGCACTTGAATATTAACTATTATCACAGAAGCAGGCAAAATAGATCCTCTGTCCCTACTCACTTAAAAGGTTTCTTTTTTAGAAAGACAAAGTTTCTAAAATCTATTTTTAAATGAAGTGCAATGTAGGCCATAAATATTGTAGAGCATAATTCTACATCTTAAATATTCTTTTTTAAAAAAAAAGTTATAGTGGGTTAATAGCCACAGAAAAAAGTGATCTAGACTTAATTTAAACTGTGAATCTACTTGGGAAGGTTGGGCCAGCGATTGCTTATGGAGCAGATGTGGCCTATGAAAGCATATGAAACTGAAGCTGCTTTTCAAGCACAGAGGTTCACAAAAGTCCTTTAAAGTTCTCAAAATCCTGAACAACCATCTCCAGTGTATTTAAGATTTCAGTTCATTTTTCCACTGCACTCTGGATTTCCTGATAAGCTCTACCTATGAAAAACCAGTGCTGACAGTGCTATTAAATACACCCTGCATATCAGAGATCCCCATTCAAACCTGTCACCTCCTGTCCATTTCATCAGCAGGGCTTGCAGAAGCAGCAGCCAGCACAGCTTTGCACAGCTGGGCAGGATGCTTGAAACTATGGGGCCCTGAAATCAGGCAAGTTTGCTACTGTGAAATACAGGCAATTCATCAGGACACTGCTTCCCACCACTTGCAAAGTGCTCTTTGGAGTTAGATATACCTTACACTACAAGGTAGTTTATTGCCTTCATGACCACAGAATTCCTATTAAATGCTTGGGCCTTTCAGTTATCAATTGATTGATAGGGAATGAAGGTGTTCAAGCCAAGTAAAGAGGAAGCTAAACTTACCTTTGTGCAACTTGTGCTGGTCAATAAAGTGACTGAGCAATCATCAACAGGATATTTATTTTTACAAAAACCACACTAAACTATGAACTTTGGCTATTATTTTAAACTTTTGAATATTAAATTGTACTTTGGAAATGGTTCTAGGCTTTGTGCTAAGGCAGTACACTTAATGTCTTGCTATACTTTTGCTAAATTATTTCAGTGAGGAAAAAGGCAAATGGTATCTCTGTAAGGAAAGGTCTTCCCTCACGTGGAATATCAAGGACAGCAGTACAAATCCTGACTCTTATGCAATAGCACATCTCTTAAAATTAGGATGCATGCAACAGCTGTATCTCTGCCTTACACTAGAAGCATACCAAACAGCACATTTGCAATTCTTTGGGGACAAGAATAATCCCTCTGAAAGATTTGACCCCTCCATTTTATCATGTTGAACCTCCAGCTATTTGTGTCCTGATGTGTGCATTGTAATCATTCAAGTTTTAAACTTAGTAGCACAGACTTAGAAGCACTGATTACCACAGCTTCTACATTATCAAGTCTTCAATGCTATAAAATCAGAAGCAAAGACTACTGGAGTAAGAAATGGGTAGAAATTGTGAATTATTCCATTATTGCCTCATAAGCCACCTTCTGGGGCATTTGATCCCAGCCCTGATCCAAAGACCAAACTTCTTCTCCAGTCTAGCACTTTCTCTACTCCCCTATCAGCTTCTAAAAGGCAGCTCTGGACCTTTTTTATCTAAGGGGGATAGAGAAATACATTATGTAAGGGATTTTACAGAGAGAAACAAGATGACATTATTCTTATGAGCCATTCACTCTTCAATTTGTAAAGGAATGAGTTCAGCCTACAACATATTATAAGCCTATGAAAAAAATCAGTAAGGAAAAGAAAAGAATTGGATTGCACCACACTGCTGACAGGATGTTAAACTTCCAGCTGCTTGCCCATCTTGCTGAGGGCGTCGCTGACAATGTCCAGCTCATGACGTAGCTCATTCACCACGCTGGCAATGCTTTTCGTGTCTTTCAGGATCTGCACACTCTGTGTATATGGATTGTACTTCACACCAAATGGGCGTTTGATGGTTTTCGCAAATTCTCTATAGAAGTGAAAAAAAAACCCAACCAAAAAACACCAGTGCATCCTCTGTACGCAGCCAGTATAAATAACCACTTTTCAAAACTACTTAAAAATAGTTCTTCATCTCTCCCACCCACCACATGAAAGATAAAGTAAATACCAATCTTGACTTTTCAATCCCATGAAAAAAGTAATTACAAAACTCTGATAAGAATAAAAGGATTTGAAGCTGCTACAGAGAAGTGTACAAAGTGAAATCTGCTTCTATAAAACAGGAGGGGAAAATCCGTACCTCATCTTTTCCTTTGCTTCTTCAAAACTCTCAGAAACAAAGTAAACCTCCTGGAAAGTTGTAATGAGACATTCTTGCTTGCAGGTGACCTTTGGATCAAAAGGCTTGACTTTGGCACTGTCAGAGAGCGAGTGCTGGTGGTGTGTTATCATGGGGCAGTGGAGCATCACCATCCAAAGAATCCATGAGGAACATGACATGTAGTAAAGTGAATAAAAAAGGTTGAGATGATATTTAGTGTATTGCATCTTAAAATTTTTATCTGCAGATAAACAGCATTTAAAGTTTAACAAGCTGAATTACTCTGAATGGTCATATTCTGCCAGTCTGTGTCAAAAATGGGATTCCACAGACATGAGGCTCATGTGTAAACAAGAGCAATATTTTCTGAATTTGATTAAGCCAACAGAGCTTTAGTCTAAAAGAAGTTGCTTGGACCTGAATGTTAAGAAATATGTCATCTACTGCTTCCTGCAAAAGACAGGGGATCTGCTCAGCATATATCCAAAAGCAACAACCGCTGCCCGTAATTATTGCCACAGTGAATTTTCTTAAAGCCTGGTAGGTATTTAAGAGTTTTCAAAAGAAAGATTTTTAGAATTATACTTTATAAAAAGCAGGGCAAAATAGTGGCAATAATAACCAGGTACAAAGAAAAGACTTAAATAAGCAGTAGACATTCTTACCTTGAGCTCACTAATCGAAGAGAGCAAGCCAGCCCCATAAACTCGTAGTTGTCCCTCTTGCTTGCACAAGCCAAACTCTACAGTGAAGAAGTAGCACTGAAACAGAGAAAAAAGTAAAATAATTCAGCCTTCATCAAAGATGCTGTGGTGAAGTAGATGTGAGCATTTCTATTTGTAGGTAGCATCAAATAGTGGCAAACATCAGACAATCATCCCTCAGTTGTCCTCAGATATTTAAAGAGGGAATCCAGAATGGAAGGGGGTAAAGAACCACAAGATTACATGATTCTCATGGGAAAGGTGAATGTTATAGATCACCCAGCTAGGCTAGAAGCTGCTAATGTTAGTGGGAACAGTGAGACATAAATCTGTTTCAAGAAATACTGACGTGAAATGACAGCCTCAGCTTAAAAGAAACACTGGATGGAGAGGGCCTCTGAGTGAGTGAAAACAGCCCACTACAGTTTGTTTCTCATTTGCTTAGTGTCCTGTAAAATTGAAGATTTTCAGTTTGGTGGATTTCAGGATTTCTGCAGGTATACAGGAAGAAACATTATTTCGTAGATGGCTTAATTCTGCTCCCACTGAAGGTGGTAGAAATTTTACCACTAACTACACAAGGCGGGGAAAAAAAGTTACTAAACCAATTCTTTCATAACTGGCATCAATTATTTTTCATCTAAATTTAATTTTAATCTCAAAATATTTTTGCCAGAAATGGATGTCCAGAAAATTAGATTAATTTATATTATTTTACTTTCTTGGCTGAAGACTACCTAATGCTAGCACTCACCACATTGAATATCATTTCAATTCCTTCTACACATTAAAGAAATAGATTACTTTTAAAATCCTTGCATCATGTTCCCATAAGTAAGACAAGTTTTGTTTGGAAGAAATAGACCAGAGAATTTCAGTCTGGAAAAAGTGACCTACCAGCAGAAGCTGAACTGTTACTTGACAGTCAAGTGAAGAAAAATGCCAGTCATCTCAACTTTAAAGTGTATTTTTTTCCTAGCATGGAAAATTTTTGCATGCTCCAAAACCAGGGACCAGTGAAACACATAGATCTTACAGCTGTTGTGGCTAATGTTAACATGAAGCTCCATATTTATTTGATGGAGTGGGATCAACCTAGCAAAGCACAAAGCTTTTGATAGAATCACTGGGCACTCAAACACTCACTGTTGCCAGTTTTTGGACAGCCTCATCTGAGGCCCCAAGTGATGCAAGACCAATTTCCTGGGAGAACTGAGCAAAACTGGGTTCAGCAAAAAGAGGGACATGGCCTAGGAGTTCATGGCAGGTATCACTGGAAAAAGAAACAAAACAAGAAATCTCATTATTTCTCTTTGTGGCAAAGTGAAAAAGCTGCACCCCTGAACAGATACAATGTCTTGCATTAAACTTTAGTATCCAAAAGACAGAAAAATGTCACTCATCTGAAAGCAACTGGGCAGGTCGTACCAACTCTCCATAAATACCTAAATGCATATTTTCAAATGAAGTTGTCTAAAATTAAGATCTGAACTCCACATTTATGAGGCAACTGAATATTAAACTAACTGCACACAGTGACATCATTAAGAGATCTC